ACACGAGAGCTTGCCGGGTCTTCTACGAGCAAGTCCCCAGTACACCCCATAATGTTTACAAGTGAGATACAGATAACACTTTATATAGTGTTTGTATATCAGGGACATTTAAGTACACTTTATATAGAGATAACTATGTACACTTAAAATATACAGTTCATGTATAAGGACCAAGGTGAAATACACCTTGTCAACTAGAAAGACACATATGGTGATTTTGGAATGTCTATATAATTTATTTTAATGCAATTACAAGACTAGCGAGGTCATCCTAAAACTGTATCTTGCGCATGGGAAACTTCACTTGGATTACGTAGTTCAATTCTGGTCACCGTATTACAGAATGGATATATAGAATCCTTGGAAAGAATTCAGAGGAGAATGACAAGACTAATCCCGGGCATTAGGAACCTTGAGTACAGGGACAGGTTAAAGCTTCTTAATTTGCACTCCCTCGAGAGACATAGAGTGAGGGGCGACATGATAGAGTTGTATACATGGGAGTCAGGGCTAAACAAAGGGGACATTACAAAGGTACTCAAACTATCCAACCAGGAGCGAACTCGTAACAATGGTCTTAAATTAGACAAATTTAGATTTAGGCGCGAAATAGGTAAACATTGGTTTGGAAATAGAGTAGTGGACGAGTGGAACAAGTTGTAGTGATGGGTTGTCAGACCACAGCTTACATCTCAGAAACGCCAGTCTTGACCCGACATTAGGGGGTCAAGTGTAGGATAACTCTCACGGTTGACCAAGGTTTATAAATCAGCCAGGCTCCCCTCCCATGTGACATGTCACCACAACAAACATGTAAGAAGGCACCAGCCGACTCTCTCCCAATATACAATAACCTACATCGCAGAGAGAGTCCAGACCTGACCTCACATTAGCCAGGTCAAATGTAACCCTCGGAGCCCAACTCAAGGGGCCACAAATCAACCAGGGCCTCTCATGTCACACGGCCCCACCTGATGACTTCTCCAGAAAATACAACTTATAGTCTCTGACAACGTCCAGACCTGACCCTACATTAGCGAGGGCAAATGTAAGGAGACCCTTCGCCGCCGCCCCCCCGATCAGCTCAACCTGACGGCTCGCCTCCCAATATATAGGACGTGCTAGTCCTCCCTCGAGAATTCGCAGACAGGGAGTGAGACAGAGAGACACACAGGGATCGGAGGAGGAGGTCCACCACAGCCGAGTCCTGCTCGAGAGAAGTCAGGGGCCGGAGGCAAGCCGCCTCCGGTCGCCTCCGGTCAGGACCGAGACTTCCCTCCGGCGCCCAGCTAAGCAGTCTCCCATAGAGACAACCCAGGACCACCTGCTAGGCCTCCCCTAGGTCACGTGAGTGTTTGTCAAAGCTTTCCATGGGATGAGTTACTTATGTGGGAAGTGTATTCATTTCATGTCCGTGTCCGAGAATCAGTGTCTAGTAACGTAAATATAATGTCCTAGTAACTTCAATAGAAGGTGTTATTAATGTGTCCATGTCATGTTCGTAATTAATAAAGAGTTGTAACGAAGCGGTGTTTGAGAAGTCGCCCTTAAGACGTAATAGATGTGTATTGATGTAGAAGATACGATAAGTGTAAATAACTATCACGGCCACGCTACCAAAATCTTCCTCTCTTTTACTCTCTTACTAAATATTCTACCTATATATATAAATATTCTTCTTGCAAGATTTGTTTTGTTATAAAGTTACCAAATATCATCATTAACTCGAATACGCTGGATAGCTTCAAACATAGGTTGGATGGATATATGAGCGATAGGGGTTGGGTGTAATATGGGACTGCCCAGTGTGGCCCGCTGCAGTTTCCTTCATTTTTATGTTCTTATGTAAATGCAAATTCCCAAATTGTGACTTTCATCAATTAATAAAAAAAAAATCATCACTAGTTAGATTTTACTATCTTTAACTGTCCAAGGATGAGTGAGCAGCCAAACCATATCTGACAAGTATTTCAGTAACTACAGCAAATATAACGATCAAATACAAATAATATTTTAATGCACATTTTTCGAAATTCTCAATTACATTTACGGGATATAACTATTTAAATTCAAATACAAAAACGTATTTCACCCCATCCACGACACACACACACACACACACACACACACACACACACACACACACACACACAGCAATTCTATTAATAACCTGTTTATTGTTATTATTATACACATATTTACTGTAATATTCAAGGAAACAACAACAAGAAATAAGAAAGAAAAGGAAGACGAAAAGTTTAAGTTTTCCGGTAACATGAAACAAGAAAAGTTACCTCATATCTATTAACCATTTCCTAGTGGTTTACGGTTCAATAAATCACAAGAGTTTACTAAATCTCCACTTGGGAAAATATACAGAAGCCTGGGTGGGTGGGTGGGTGGGTGGGTGGGTGGGTCAGGGTGGGTGGGTGGGTCATGGGGAGTGGGTAGGTTTGTGAGTTTGTCTGTATGTACACATGTATGTAACTGGAATACGTGAGTACTTAAGTGTAGTATGTAAGTAATGATTTCTAAGTGTAACTATGGTGTTTAAGTAGGAAAGTGTGTGATGTGTACTTATGTAGATGTGGGGAATAAAGTGGTAATGTGTATTGTAAAGTGTTAGTAAGTCTTAAGTTTTGTAAGTGTATGTTAGCATTGTGTAAGTAAATGTTGTGTAAGTATTATGAGTGTAAATTTATGTAAGTGTAGTGTGTAAGTGAGGTGTATGTGTGCTGTGCGTAAATGTGGTGCGTATATATAAGTGTGGCGTACGTATTGAAGTGTCTGAATACTTATAATGTGATTGTTATGTAGTGTGAGCTCAGTAAGTACCAGAACAAGTACCTTAAGTGAATAATTAAAAACGAAAGAAGAAATATACACATGGAAGAGAGAGAGAGAGAGAGAGAGAGAGAGAGAGAGAGAGAGAGAGAGAGAGAGAGAGAGAGATGCATGAATAATAAAATGGTTTAGACAAGAGAGGTTACGAGCGAGTCAGTTTAACAGCGATGGTTTGAAACAGATTTGGTGACGCGAGAAAATGGTCTTTCCTTATCAATATGTGTGGTCGAGGTGACTTATTTCTGGCTAAGATATATCGTAGATAAAAAAGAAAGGTGGAAGAAATTGTCAACAGAAAGAATACTGAATATGATTCTGCTTGAACGCGAAATAAAGTTTACCGCGAAAGTAACTTGTTTACATCATCGTGAAAGGAAGCGAATGGAAGATAACAACAAACAAATGAAGAAATAATGATATACACCTTAAAAATAAAGTAAATATAGATAACAGTTCATAAATTTAGACAAAGTCAAGGATGTGTGGAGTGCATATATGAGACCTTGGCAGTGAACTATGGCAGAGTGCGCCAGTGTTTGTTGATATGCGCGCGCAACCCAATAGTCCAGATGTAAACAAACATGACTCAGCTATCCGGACCAAGGTGGAAATTTCTTTGACATTTTTTTTGAGGGGGTGGGGGCATCAAAACAAGGATGATAATAAATTAAATTATTCTAGTGAAATGCTGTCGAGATATATAATTATAATGTTTTAAACCACACTATCTATCTCTCTGTCTTTGACCCTATACCTCTCTCTCCCTTTAAAACTTCAATAAAAATGAAACAAACGTAAAATCAGACAATAAGGGGTTTTAGAATTTACTCTCAGTGCTTATTAGTATACAAGAATTTGCTCTCCTACGTCAGCTTATTTTTAAAACGTATCTCTGAGAGGCAGCTAAGCTTACTGAAGAGCTTTGTTGCAACTACACTCCTCACCCCTTCTCTCACTGGCTCACGTAAGAGGAGGAACAAGATTACCCCACACCCTCCCCCCGTTCCTCTCTCCACTCCTGGCTTAGGACTCAAACAAGGCGGCCATAACAAGTTCGTTCCTGGTGTCTAGAGAGTTACTTATGACTGTCTCACTGTTTTCAAGTCATCCATGAGGGAGATGAGGAGGAGGAGGAGGAGGTGGAAGAGGAGGAGAGGGAGGAAGGGGAAGAGAGGGAGGAAGGGGAAGAGAGGAGGGATAAGGGTAGTGTTGAGAGAGATGTTTTTAAGTAGGTGGCCGTGAGTCTTATGTTTATGAGTAGGTGATTGTACCTACGTGTCTGCGGTGTTTGTGAGTACGTGCTTGTTTGTGAGTAGGTGGCTATGAGTAGATGTTTGTGAGTGAAGGACAATGGGTTGGTAGTTTTAAGTAAGAATACAGGTGAGTGGTTCATGGGTGACTGATTAACTGACTGTGAGTAGGTGGCCGAGTAACTGACTGGGAGTAGGTGGCCGAGTAACTGACTGGGAGTAGGTGGCCGAGTAACTGACTGGGAGTAGGTGGCCGAGTAACTGACTGGGAGTAGGTGACCGAGTAACTGAGTAGGTGGCCAAGTGGAAAAATCCTAAGAATTTAGTATCGTGCTTCATTACTTTTTTTTTATTAATGACATACAATGAGAAAATAAAAATATCTCCCCAGCTCTGGCCGAAGTATAATGAAACCTGACTACCCAACACAGGTCTACCAACTGCTTATGGGCTCCACGTAAGTATCAAATGGCTCAACCGTTGTGTGGTGTATTCGTTAAAAAAAAAAACTAATAATTTGTAACTTGTGGGAAACGTTTTATTATGAAATTCTCCCTAAGTTCACTCTCAAGTTCACACACACACACATATACAGGTAAACAATAACAGTAAACATATAAACATATAAAAAATCCCCATTAAGAGAATCGGCAATAAATGTTCCAACAAATGACAGTCGCATCAAAGCAATCGGTAAATATCAATCCTCCTGTGGCATTCTCCAAAAAAAAACTAATAATTTCTTACACGAGACTTTCTTAGTTAATGGTCAGAGTTCACATTATATGTATATATATATATCATTTCATTATTTACTTTGTACATAGACTAATCACAAAGGACAAATAACAATATACAGTTAACACAGATGTAATGTACGTATAGAAGAGATTAAAGCACAGTTACCGGTTAATATTGGCGCTGTGAGCTTATAACTGAGACACAGGCGCAGTACTAGATTGTCAGTTATAGTATTGAAGGTATTTAATAGTTTATGAGGTATATATCCACTGGGAGAGCTGACTACTTGTCCCGTCCACTCACTACAGCGGCACCTGATACACTGACTGAACGTTAAGTTGTCAAAACCCTTCCGGCAGTAACTTCACATGGCTCCCCTCTGCCAGACGTAAAAGGTCTTTCTCCTATATCGGTAATGACAACTGCTAAAGGGGGTAAGGGGTGATAAGGGGGTGGTAAGGGGAAAGGAAATGGTGGGGGAGAAGGAGTGGCAAGGGGAAAGGAAATGGTGAGGGATAAGGAGTGGTGAGGGATATAGGATGGTGAGGGGAAAGGAATGGTGTGGGATAAGGGGTGGTGAGGTATAAGGGATGGTGAAGGATACGGGATGGTGAGGGGAAAGGAAATGGTGGGGGATAAGGGGTGATGAGGGATAAGGGGTGGTGAAGGGAAAGGAATGGTGAGGGATAAAGGGTGGTGAGGGGAAAGGAATGGTGAGGGATAAATGGTGAGGGGAAAGGAAGGGGATAAAGGGAAATGGTGGGGGATAAGGGGTGATGAGGGATAAGGGGTGGTGAAGGGAAAGGAATGGTGAGGGATAAAGGGTGGTGAGGGGAAAGGAATGGTGAGGGATAAAGGGTGGTGAGGGGAAAGGAATTGTGAGGGATAAGGGGTGGTGAGGGATAGGAGATGGTGAGGAGGATAAGGGATAAGGTTAGGTTAGGTGGGTAACAACAGAGGAAACACTAGACGTATGAGTATACTGGTGAGGTGATGAGATAACTGGCCAGCAGGAACAGAGCCTGATAAGATAAATTAGTTGTCAAGAGCACTTTTAAATGTTCAAGGTGAGATGTCCCTCCTTGCTACCCACAGCATTGAGGAAAGACAAAGTTGACAAGTGAAAACAAGGAGTGAATAATCTAAGGGTTGAAATACGTGTAGCAAGTAAGGAACACATACAAAATGTGTACGTGACAGACAAATTTAAGTAATGGAAGAGATAAGAAGATTATCATGTAAACTAAGTAATTTATTAACATTTATATTAAGTATTGATTAATATAGTTAATTAAGTACATTAAATAACACAAATAAAACAAAATATGCAGTTAACAAAACACACCAGAATATTACGCAGTTATTCTTACTTTAAACATTATATTCACCTACTATAGACAACACAAAAACCTGATAGAAGTGGCAGCTCAGGTAGCAAGTCTAGGTTGTGATGGCCAACCACAAGGAACCAGGGATTTACGCCGTCGTCCACTACCGGCAAACGATCACAACACCACCAGCAGTAGTCCTTAATATAATCAGTCGTCCACAACCCGGGAGAAGAGGAACATCGTCAGTCGCAGAGAAGAGACTCACCAGGCAGACACGCTTGCCTCGATACCTCGGTCTCATAGTCGGATGGGAAACTGGTTGTGAATCGGTACTCACTGGGGTCGAGTACAGTAGCTTCGTGAAGCAGTTTCTTCACCTGGTGTCCAGTTGGAGTATGTGATGGTTATGGTGGTACAGTGAGGAGGGGACAGAGTCGTCTCACTCAGAGTGTGTCGACAGCCCCCTTATAAAAACCTGAATATTAAAGACAAGAGTTTGTAAATAACAGCAAAGGAAGTATGATTGACTAATTGACTCGGCTGAATAGTACACGGACGTGGTATACTTGGACTTAGTTGTATTTTTTTTTTAATGTTGGACCTTAATCATAGGTTACGGACTTAACAGATAAGTGTTGTTTTTTTGCGTCGCAGCCAACCGTGTATAGTACAACGAGACAACGCTACGTGTGGGGGCTCGGCTAGGTTAGGTTAGGGTAGTTAATTTTAAGGTAAATCAAGTCGAGGGGTTAAACTTCACGTGATCTCATCTGGAGCACAATTTTACACTGTTAAGAACTCGATCACAGGTCATAAGACATCAGGAGAAGGTCAATAGACGATAAAGAAACAAACATAATAATAATAATAATGATAATAATATTAATATTAATAATAATAATAATAATAATAATAATGTAATGAGTGATTATTATCAGACCACAGCTTACAGTCCAGAGAATTACAACACATATAACAGTGAGTGCTACAGGCCTCTGGTACCCCAACATACCAGGTTGACACACCCTGTTTTTTTTTTGTTTTTTTTTAGGTTAAGGTGGGGAAAGGATGGAAGGCATGCTGGGGCTCAAGGCACAGCCAGACATGAGGGATGGAGAAGTCACAACATATAGTCGTGGGGGGAAAGGTTGGAAAAGAAGTTTAATGAGTTAAACAGAGGGGGACGACACCCCTTGTTTTACATATTACAAAGTTTGTTGCCTAACTAAGCTAACCTAGGATTTAGAATGTGGTTGTACAATGGTTATTTTAGTAAACAATGACTAGATTTATTTTACAATTACAAGTTTATTAACATCTTATACTGTATTACGTTATGGACTTACTTGATTGTGACTTGTTAAATGTGAATTTATATCATCTAAGTTTTAATCTAAGGTGGATCACTGTGGCGGACATAGATGGGTCGCGGGTTGGGTTGTTGTAATGCGGGCAGACTCCGGGGCCACCAGGCGTGGGGTCTCCCTCCGTTGATGTCTTCCACGCGTAGGTGGTCTGGGCTGTGAGGGTCGTCCAGGAGCTTGTCCCAAACCTTCTTCCCTAGGCGATAGAACCTGAAGTTAAGGGCCTCTGTTTTATTTCTTAGGTTGATGGTTTCCACTGTCTCCTGGTAAGGTGGCGCTTGGCCACTGGCTGACCTCAAACACTTGTTTTGGAAGCTCTGTAGTTGTTGTAGTCTAGTCTTCCCGAGTGTGACGTGTGGTATAGATGGGTACTCCAACACAGGCCTCACCAGCGCCTTGTACAGGTGAACTTGTATCTTCTCAGGCATCAGTTTAAAACGTTTTAATTTGGCTGCGGCGACTTTGGCTATATTTAGTCTGTCCTTCACGTGGGGAATGATGCCCGTCCGAGAGAAGATGAGGCCGAGCAGCCTGCCTTGTTTAGAGTACTCAATCTCTTCGTCGTCGATCATCAATGGCACCGGCTTGAATTTGGCTATGGGTATGACCTCAAATTTCGTTTTGTTTGTTTTTATTTTCCATTTATTTTCATACTCCGAGATATTCTCTATTGCCCGACCAGTGAGTCGCGCCATCCTTGCTGTGGACCTTCCTGGGCAGGTGACGATCTGTGTTACATCGTCGGCATACATGACGTACTCGCTGCCGACGATTGGGGGTGGCAGGTCAGCCGTGTAGAGTGTGTAAAGGGCTGGTGAGAGGCAAGAGCCCTGAGGCACGCCGCTCGATAGTGAGAATTCTTCGCCAAAATGTTCTTGCATCTTGATTTTGGCTCTGCGGTCCATAATGAAGTTGCACAGCAGGCGCGTCAGATTTTCGGGTAGCCCCAGTTGTATGATCTTATACTGCAGCCCTGCGTGCCAAACTGTCAAACGCCTTGCTGACGTCCCTCAGTACTATATTGCACTGCAGGCGGCCAGTCATGGCATTGGCGATCTGCTCGTAGGCCTGAGCTATGGCGGTGGATGTGCCTCGGTACTGGCGGAAGCCGAATTGGCGGGGATTATGCACGTCTTCGTCCTCCAGATACATCCGCAATCGCTTGTTGACTATTTTTTCGAAGATTTTGGCAGGTACCTCTAGCAGCGATATTGGTCGAAAGTTTTCGACTTTGTTTGGAGGCTTCCCTGCTTTTGGTATGAGGCGAATAACGGCGATTTTGAACACCTTAGGGAAGTATCCAGAGGCGAGGCAGTCGTTGCATATATGAGCAAGCCTCTCTATCATGTTGTCGGGGAGTTGAGCCAGGATCTTCTTGTTAATGTGACTTTGACCAGGTGATTTGTTTTTAAACCCTTTTATGACGGCTGACACATCTGCAGGAACTATGCGCTCCGTCTTCCGTCCACCAGTCTAGTGAAGTCAGTCCGTGGGAGCGGCTGGAGCAGGTGCTGATGGTCCTTCAACTGACCTAAAATGTCCTCCTCAAACTCCCTGTCGAAGCCCTCGTTCTCCTGTTCACTAATGGTAAAGATCTTTCGTAAATATCGCCGATGTAGTTGTTCTTGGTTTTCTTCCTCGAATATTTTCACGTTGTTTTGGTCGAGCAGGTAAGGGACCGTGCTAGAGGTGGAACCCATCAGTAGCTTGATCACTTTCCAGAATGCAGCAGAATCGCGGTAATTGTTGGCTGCCTCCCACACCAAGGCGGCCCACTTTTCTTCATGTAGACGTTTACTCTCGTGCTGGATGTCCGTCTGTAGCTCTTGGTACCGGTCTCTCAGCTCTTGCGTCCACCCGCAATGGAAGCCACCGCAGTAGTAAGAGCACAAGTGATATTTAAAAAAAAAATGGAGAAAAAGGCGACGTTCGCGAAACACATGGGGGGAGGGGGGGGGGCGCTATCTGTCCTGCTGGTAGTAATTTTTTGGTCATACGACTGGTGTATGTCTTGCCTTCACTACGAAGCCTTTTTGCAACATTACTCTTCCACGTGGGAGGTCTGCATGGACGTTTACGGCCCGGTGATGATCCAGCCTCGGGGATCACTCGTCTCACAACAGGTGCTGGGTCATCAACTTATAAAACACTTTGTGATAAAGGAAATATTGTTGACACCTGCTGTGGTGGTGCTCTTACCGAGGCGGTGGCTTTATTTTATTATTTACACTCGACTTACAATATCCTTGCCACATCACATAATAGTTTTCAGTATGGGGACTTACAATATTGTAAGCAGTTTGTAAGTTTATACTGTAAATTGGTCACCTAATGTGTAACTTACGAGGTATTTTGAGTCTCCGCCCTGGCAGTGCCGAATTTAGACCTGTGGAGGCCCATGGGCAGCCTCTTTGTGGAGGCCCGCCTCATTATAACTACCCAAGAGGGTGGGGTGGCGAGTGAAGCGAGCCTAAACATCTAGGAGTTCCGGGGGGCGCTGTAAGCCCCCAGGGAAAATTTTGAAATTTGAACACTTCTTTGGAGAATTTTGAAGCCATATGCAGTTACATTGAGGAAATTAGAAAACAGCGCCCTGATGGCATTCGTAATGGAAGTGATAATGAAAAAAAAAAAATTATTTTTTTTTAATCTCAATTTCGTTATTCCATGTAGTTCATTTTTAATCAATATGTGTTTGTGGAATTCTAAATATATTATTACCAACACAAACAATAGCATTCATTAGAAATATACGGTTCATAGGAAAACCAAGTATTCATGAATTTCAAGGAGTAGCTAGCCTAATTTCTATCACGCTTCTTGCTGAACATAGTTTTACGTGATGGAATAGATAAACGTGAATTTTAAGGAATGAAAATAAAAATAATCCAAATGAATATACAAATTAGTATTTAGCCTGTAAGGAAATTATTGTTTAGCCTGCAAGGAAATTATTGTTTGGCCTGTAAGGAATACAATGTTGG